AATTATCATTTCAACGATCAACTTCTCCCATAATGATATCTATGCTACCTAGTATTGTCATAATATCAGCCAATTTCATTCTTTTAACTAACTGAGGAAGAATTTGCAAATTGATAAAACCCGGGGGACGAATTTTCCATCTCCAAGGAAAACCATTCTGATCCCCTATTAGAAAAATTCCTAATTCTCCCTTTGGGGCTTCAACTCTCACAAAGTTCTTGTTTCGGTAATTCAAAAGTCGGAGACGGCTTTTTACTAATGAATCGATATTCAAAATCATTCCATTCTGGATCCTTTTCTCTATCAAAGCAGCGGATTTCTAAATTCATATGGCCCCCCCGGAATTCCTTCCAGAGCCTGTTGAATAATTTTTATGGATTCTACCATTTCACCAATTCGTACTAAATAACGAGCTAATGAATCTCCTTCTTTTTGCCATTGAACTTCCCAATCAAATTCCTCGTAACATTCATAATGATCAACTTTACGTAGATCCCATTGGATTCCGGAAGCCCGAAGCATTGGTCCTGATAAACCCCAATTTATTACTTCCTCTCCACCAACAATGCCTACCCCCTCAACCCGTTCTAAAAAAATAGGATTTCGCGTAATAAGTTTTTGATATTCAACAACCCTTGTTAAAAAATAATCGCAGAAATCCAAACATTTATCTATCCAGCCATGAGGTAGATCAGCCGCTACCCCTCCGATACGAAAAAAATTATGCATCATTCTCATACCTGTGGCAGCTTCGAATAGATCATATATTAATTCTCTTTCTCTGAAAATATAGAAGAAAGGGGTTTGTGCACCAATATCTGCCATAAAAGGTCCCAGCCATAGTAGGTGAGAAGCTATACGACTCAACTCCAACATAATTACTCGAATATAGCTAGCTCTTTTAGGTACTTGAATATTTCCTAACTGTTCCGGTCCATTTACAGTTATTGCTTCTGTGAACATAGTAGCTAAATAATCCCAACGTGTTACATAAGGCAGATATTGTACAATTGTTCGGTTTTCTGCAATTTTTTCCATCCCTCTATGTAAATAACCCAATATTGGTTCACAATCAATAACATCCTCACCATCTAGAGTAACAATAAGTCGAAGAACACCATGCATTGATGGATGGTGAGGACCCATATTGACTATCATGAGGTCTTTTCTTGTAGTTGGGGCATTCATAGGTTTTTCCTCGATTCATTCTTCCATGAATTGCTTAAAACAAAACTTAGTTCATCAAAATTCAAGATCTAATAAATCGAATAATTCAAAACGACTCTTCAAATTAATTAGTTTGTGGCTCCCGAATATCCAACTGATTAATTAATTTTTTATAACGTATTCCATTTTTCTTTGACAAATAAGACAAGAGTCGTTTCCGTTTTCCCAGAATTTTACGTAAACCCCTTTGAGATAAATAGTCTTTTCTGTGCAATTGCAAATGTGAAGTAAGTCTTCGTATCTTATTGGTGAAATTCAATACTTGAAATTCAATCGATCCCGGGTTTTCTTCTTTTTTTTCTTGTGAAATAACGGGTATAAATGATTTTTTTACCATAAAAAAATGAAAGCTTGTCTTTCCCCCCTTTTTATAGAGTCTAGATATTTTATTGATCAGTAATAATAATGAAATGACACTCATTTTCAATTTTGTATATACAATAATCTTAATATACAATAATCTAGAATTCCTGATTTCTTTTTCAAATAAATTTTGATTAATCAACCCAATTCAAATAGGTATACAAAAAAATACTATTTATGCATTCACAAAAGCAAAATTGTCGACTTCAAATAAGAAGATTTTGGTGATTCATTTATAGATCTAATGGATAGGATATATCATTGAATTAGTATCGTACCTCAGTGAGAATAGAGGGTAAGACAATGCAATGCGTATGTGCATCTATTTGTTTTCGCATACCAGATATGTTACGAGAAATAGAAAAAACAAAAAATGTAGATTAACGAATTTTCAATCGTGGATACATATGTATCCTTACCATACTGAAACGGCTGCCATTATTGGTATCAAACCAATAGCGATTCATACAAGCTAAATCTTCTAATCGATAATTTGGCCAAAGAAATAACTTTAAATTAATTAGTTTTTGTTTATCTCTATCAATATTTTTACTTGTAGCCAAAACTTGACAGCAATTATTCACTTTATTCTCATTGTAAAATGCCGTATTTCTATGCACACTATTTCTATTCCTAGGATTGAAACAAATTAGAATTCTCAATTCTCTACGACGTCTAGCGGATAAAAGATTTTCAGGAACAAGCAAATCATAATTCTTTTTTTCTTTATTTTCAGTCAGCTTTTGATCTCTTGTTCTTGTAATGGATTTCTTAATGGATTTATCCAAATTTTTCTTATCAACGTAGCTTTTTTCTCGGTATCTTTGATTAATTTGGTGCTTTCTCTTATGAATCAACGAAAGGCCTATGGTTTGATACATATTAAATTGTTCATGGTTTTTTATAGACAGACGAATCGGTTCGATACTCAATATTCCTTTTTTCATCAATTCCGTATTTTTATTCAATTCTGTAAGAGTGAAATCCTTCTGATTCTTAATTTTCATAATATCTAGACTTAGTTCTCCTCTTTGAATAGAGGCTATAGCAATTTCTTTTATATTTTTCAGTCTAAGCAGGAGACAATATACTTGGATATTATTCATTATTCTTTCATTTAAGCAATCACGCCAGTTCAATTGAAAAAGCAAATACCTTCTTAGGAAGCAATTAAGTTCTGCTTCGATGTTGTTCGTGTATTTATTTTTTTTTACACCCTTTTTATGTCGGATCTGGCATAATCTTCTTTAACATCTTTTTCTTTCTTTGAAGGGGATGCTTCAAGATTTAGTCGACCTGCATATTCTGTTTTTCCTTTATTTCGAGTCTCTAACTCTAATTCAAGATATTTTTTTTTTTCCATCGTCTAAAAATATCTATTTTTTTCTTTTCCGTGATGTTTTTCTCATTTTTATTTACATTAAAATTGAAAAAAAGGAATTTGATTGGTATGATCCATGGGTTACTCGTATATGCATTATAAAATATAAAAATTTTAGAGAAGAAAAAAAATTCCCGATTCGCTATGCAACGATTTAGTATTTCTACATTCATTCCCATCCAATCAAAAAGGTTTTTTTTTTATTGGATGGGTTGATTTCTTCATGAAGCGTAAAATAATAATCGGTATCGATCGAACCCCAAAAATGCACTTTATTTGTAAGACAAAAATTCAGAATTCTCCAATCAAAACACTTTCTATCCAAATTTTTTTCCATATCTAGAATAGAATCTTCTACTATATAATTCTTGAGAGGAATATCATCCGTCATATCCAATTTTTTTTTTTACGCGTGTTGGAATTATAAGAAATCGCTTGGTTATTATTTGCTTGGAATGACGATCTATATCCATAAATATATGAGTCCTTCTTATCTGCATAATTAAGGGATTTATATGATAAAAGATCATACCCATATTGTTTTTTCATTTTTTTTTTTGATTTGTTAATGAATCTATTTCGTGTTTTTGTAAAGAATTAATCCGTTTTGTTCATATGAATGATATTTGGTTAAATCTTTATTTTGAGCCACATGGCGTTCATTCATTTTATTTCGCCATTTGTGGGATACTAATCTAGACCATCCATTCTGAGATAAATCGTATTGATAATGACCTTTTAACCAATTTGTCCATTGATTCATTACAGAATTGGGAGCGCTCTTATGTTTTAATTTGGAATGAGATATTCCTTGTACTCCAAAAAGATAATCCTTTAGTTCATTCTTAAGAAAAAGAGGTGTTCCATGATATTCAAAAACGGATCTTAATTTATACTTATATAAGTTAATAACTTGGGTTTGTGATAATTTGTAAAATACATATGCTTGTGACAAAGAGGATACGTCACAAAAATTCTGTGAATTCGTATTCCTAATATTACAAATTGATTTTTTTTATAGTAGAAATAAAGTGAATTAGACTTTGATTTTTTTTATCACTTCTTTTTCTTTCTTCATTTGCTTCATTATTGTAAATGTATTTAGTAAGAATTTTTTTTGTTGATTCAAGAAAAAGTTGTACATTGATTCTAGGAATATTAATGATACATACAAAGATATCTATATATACCCTTTCTATGAAAAATTTAAAAAAATAATGTGATTTGCGGGATAATCGAACATTTCTTTTTTGTAATATCTGCCAAATATTTTTTTGTAATTCTAATCTTTTATCATCAAGTTGTTTTCTTAGAACAAATATTTCTCTCTGAACCTTTTTTCTTGTCTTTTTTAAATTTTTCTATTTGTTTTATGATTTTCTTTGTTCTATCATTCAGATCTTTTATTTTTTTTTCTGTCAATGAACAATCTGTCCAATTAATAGATTGAATTGGAATGGTGGATTCGTAAATAATTTGATTCCTCTTACTTTACTTTTTGTTGAATCTTTTTGAATTTCATTCAATTCATATATTTTTCTCAATCCAAATATAAATAAAAGATTTGATAATGATAGTTTTTTTATTTTTTCTTTTAGAAATAGAATCCTTTTGCGAATACTTTGGATGATCCGTTGTGCTGTTTCTTTTGCTATATTTAGAAAAAATTTTGTTCTTTCGTTTAAGACTTTTAGAACTAGAAAAAAATTCTTTTTCCAAATTTTTATTTTTTTTTTTAAGTTCTTTAAAAATGGGATCAAAAAACGAACGTCGGTTTCGGGGAGAAGAAGAAAAGGGCAATTCTACTTCCATTCCGAAAACTGTTAAAAAGAAGAAATCCATTTTTTTCACTTTTTTTTTCATTGGATCCTTTTCCTTTTGAGGGGATCGTAGCTTAGATCTGTATCTGTGCCAAGGTTTCAGACGAAAAGGAAAAAGGACCTTTATTTGAATACCCTCAGTTAGCCAGTTTTTCGGAAATTCTGTTTCGGATAATTGAACGCCATTATAGGTGCATTTAATATACATTTCTCTATTCCAATCCTTTAAATCCTCTGACCATTCGGGAGATTGAAATAATAGTATACGAACGATATTTTT